ATAGAGGAGCTGCTTTGTAACACCCCACCCAGAATCTCTATGGTTGAACCCGTGGTTCAACCGCGCAGCCAAATCCTTGGTGTTACTGGTTGAACTCAATCATCTCAAACATCATATCCGATTATTAAACACAAACATAAACCGTTATCATACAAACTCATTATTCGATCCCCGACCCACTTATTGAATTTTACAAAATGTGGGTTATTATTGAAAACACTCAAAGCAGAAATCCTAGGTGACCATGACAGAATAGTGTTCCAAACTACCTCATGATGGTAGTACAGAAGGATAGGGCAGCCTCAGTAGTCCGATCCTAGTTGCACCTGCGAGCCTGAAAACAGACGTGGGTCAGCAACTAAGCTGTGTGTGTGGATCTTTCCCATGACCTAATTTTGGGGCCTCAATCAGCTAATCAAACAATCGTAATCAAGCATAATTTAGTACTCTAGATGCCATCTTAAATCATCATATATAAATTACCGATCAATTTATCGAATCCACCAACTCATCATCACCAAATCAATTTATCCAATAAGATGATCACATAATTTCATGAACACATAATCAATGCATGATATGAAAATTCCGATTAATTATTAATGGCGCCAAGGTCACCATACACTTACCCTCGCTCGAGCAAATCATCATCCGTGGTGCTCATGCAACCACAACACTCAATCCGTGGTGCTCATGCAACCACAACACTCAATCCATGGTTTTTAACCACAACACTCATCCGTGGTGCTCATGCAACCACAACACTCAATCGCATACGCGAGCTAAATCTACCCACTCTCAAGGGGTGAGGGTAAGTGCAGACCCTTTCTACATCTACGTGAATTAATATGATCACGAATCAAACCATTTCCATTTTTCTCATCTGTCACAAACAATCCGGAATCAATGTAGTCTCACGGATTAACCAGTCCATATATATATTTCCCGTCGATTATCAACTCGACGTTTCAGATAAATCATTCTCCAGTAAAGCTATTCAGCAGTACCATGTCACCCTTCCTCATCCAAAATTCATCAACAATTTCACGAAATAGCGCCAACGCAAATAATTATAAATAACCCGGTTGCGGTTAAAAATATCCTTATCTCAAAATTCACTTTCCTTCATTAAAATCCTCACACAATTCATGTAAATGAATTTATTGACACAAAAATCCATTTAATCTAGTTCTCGTCATAAAAATCAATTTAGACAATAAAATATAAAAAATCTCGTATTAACCATTATTTTACGGTAACTTAAATTCCCACAAAATGGTAAATTCGAAAATCTCCCAAAAATACAAGAACCTTCATTTATCATCCTAAAACAGGTCTGTCCAGTTTTTATATTTTTCAACAAATCAAAACCATGAAAATTATATTACACTCGGTCTTTACCGCAAATCTCGTATTAAGCTCGTTTTTACCATTTCAAAGATAAAAACTACACCAACTGTCTAATTTACCATTTCCAGACCAAAAACCATTTAACAATCCATACTGTCCATTTTAAAGTGATCAAAATCTTAAAGATAAATAAAACAAGTTTTTACCGAGCCTTCCGTAAAATTCACCGTTATGCAGTTTTTAATCCGGAAGTCATTTTCAAATGAAATCTTCTGCTCAATCTGCCCCAACATCATTTTAGACATACAAAAATATCTTAGATCCGTTTTAAACTCAATAAACCCAACTATCCATTTTTACGGTGAAACTTGTAAAATACCGATATGTACACCGTAAAATCCATAACAATAAAGAACAATCACCAAATAATCATATCAGCAACCAAGTCATCAACTACACTAATCTATCCATCCAAATATGCAAATCAAGCATAAATAATCGAGGCAATAATTAAGGTCCTCTTAATCCCCACACACCTTAATTTTAGCCGATTCCAAGTCGGGAATTAAGTTCTAAAATTCCAGAGGTTGGATTCTAAATATTCTCCTTGTTTCTACGGTCCTGTAGGCGAAAACGGTTCGTTGTTTGGACGTCAAACGAAGAAACTGCGAGCTGATCATCGTTAGTACGAAATTAGGGATTAATTTTGAATTTTCTGCTGTCCAAAATCTGCAGAAAACTGGAAATTCCTTTACCTCACGTACCAACTTCCGGGCCTTGTTTCTCCCTCGTCTGAGCTCGAAATTCAATTCCGTAAAATATGTGATTCTCGTGGAGACTTTCTCTTCGCAACGGTATCAAGCTTCGTAGCTGATACTACCTTTAATGGTGCTGGTTTGGCTGACGAAAAGGTTACGGCAAAAGTTTCGGCGAAGAATTTCCGTTGAGTTGGTTGGACGATTTTGGCTTCGTAATGAGATTTGTGTGGGTTCTAAATCTTTGCTGGGCATACAGAGGTTATGATAGGCGTTTGTTAACTATCCTTTCCTTCCATTCTTTTCTTGGCGTATGAAAATGATGATATGAAGTGAGGAAGAAGAAGAAAAGAGTCTCCCCCTCTTATTAATTCTTGTTTCAGATCTTCATCACTCCTAATTAAGGCCCAGGCAGACCCTCATAAAGCTAAAGGCCGCCTTCTAAATCCTCAGGTCAGTTATGGAGTTGAAGGGACGAGTTTCAAAGGCTGCACCGCTTGGTACGAGCTTATCTACAGCTGCAGCAGCGACGCAGATTCAGTTTATGAAACATGATGTAGTATTTTGTACACATAAATTCCGTGTGGTCTACTGGTTTGGGCAATTGTTTGCCCTTGAATGTGGGCAAGGTTCCAGGTTCGATTCCTAGCAGCCTCTTATTTATTTTTATTGCATTTTTTTAGGCTTGGAGAGTTTCAAAGTGATTTCGTTGATCCTATCTCGCATAGGATAACTTCTAGATTTTTTTCCAGCCTCGAAACGAATATTATACGCCCACCATCTGGAAAAAAAAATTTATTCGAGGTTCGGGATGTCACATGCTTGATCTCAAATCGACGATGCAAAGAGAGGAAACAAAATCTGGGAAACCCTAAAACCAGATCGGAGAAGGGTTGCAGATGCGCCAACGAGGAAAGCTTCAATCTGGAACGAAGGGATGATTTCGCCGGCGCCGGCGAAGTGGTGGCAGTGTAAGTTCGGCGAAGGGCTGGCGAAGTCTGTCTCCTCCTCTGCAAAATCCGAAATGTCACCGTGAGAGGCCAACTACAGCTTCGGGTTTTCGGGTTTTTATCGAATTTTCGGGTTATAGCAAAACCGAAACCGCTACAGATAGCTTTCGGGTTGAAACCGAAAAACCAAACCCAACGACATTGTTATCGGTTCGGGTTCGGTTAAAACCGAAAACCCGAACCCGATCTGACACCCCTACTCATGATCAGTCCTTAACAAAAGTCAATCCATCTCTCCACCGCATCCGCATACCCTTGTTATTTATTAGTCATTTTTATTTCTGTTTCTAAACGTTTGTTTGACCATATTTCTAGTTATATGGTAAATTAGATCGACCTTGATTTGGACTTAGGTAGACTACATAACAAGTTATTTTGTCCTCCTAATATCAACTATTAATCGTTATTGTATAATTACGATTGTGAATATGAACAAATAGATGAATTATCTTTGACTTTGAAAGTAAAATATTGAAATTATATGCTGTTATATTAACGTAAATGTGAGAGAAGTAACAACTAATACTTAGGGGTCATTTAGATGAGTTGTTGTGTAACAAGTTACTATAAAAGTGGAATTCCTCACAAAATGAGAATGTGGTATTTGTGAGTTATTTCACAATAACTACCCCTATGAGGTATTGAAATAACTCATTAATGAGTTATTTCAAATTAACTCAAGTACAAATAACTCATCACCAACTTTTGTAACCAAACGGGTTATTTGCACCCAAATAACTCAAAATGATTTATTTGGGTGCAAATAACTCATACGAATAACTCATCCAAACGATCCTACTAATTTGAAAAAATGAATATGTGCATCAATCTTGCCATTGAACTATATCAATATGTACATAGTACGCTAGTCTCTAACCATTACCCGTCATGAGCCAAACTAATTTTTTTTTTACAAAAAGATCACTTATATTGGACTGAAACATCATTGTTACAAGGGGGACACACTATGGAAGCTGGAAGCAAAACATCAAAAGAATTCTAATGTTTGGTAGATAAATCGAAAAAAAAGAAGGAAAAAAAAGAAAGAATAGGAGTCAGATCGATCAATCCCAAGAAAAGAAATTCCACTACATAAGACTCACAATGTGAAATCAGAATCTCCTCGCTTCCACAATCATCAACACAACACAAGCAAGGCTTCAACTCGACCAAAACCAAATAAGCCCATGGTGACTGAACTTGCAACCCATGAGTCGCCATCTGTGGATTGGCCAAATGCCACCTATCACAATGAATCTCATGGAAGAGACTATTTAGTTGTGGGCATGCTGAAACCGGGGTGCTTTGAGCTCAACAGATTGAGAGAGCCGGAGGCAAGACAAACCAGGATCCAAAGGGCAGAACAACTTCCTTTACAATCTCCCAAAAGACAAAGAGCCACAACCAACACCGGCACCAATCAGAGAGGAAGCCCACAAACAAACCATAGGAAGACTGAAAGGAAAATCGATGAATATGCTCACCAAAGAAGATAAGCGCACCAACAAAGAGCAGAACCCCAACATCCAAAGCCCTCCCGACTACAATTTTCGGACCCCTAAAACGACTAAACGAGCCAAACTTTGAACTTTAGAAGTAGGAAATGTCTAAGAAGAGTAGAAGACCTAAAAAGTCCGCATGACATACGACATACGTTAGCAGAAAACCACCAACCGAATCGGTTGAACCCCACCAACCTGACCGTACCAGCTTTTCTTCTATAGTCTCCGATTGACCTGACCGGCTGACCGCTTCCATTCATCTCTCGATTACCAAATTTCCAGGCTACACACTCGCCGATCGGAGCGGCCATGGCGTCCGACACATAACAGATTCCTTTCTTTTCCCTCCCCGTAAAATTCGTCGTCTCCTCGACAAAGACCGGATGTCTCTCGCCGGAGCGCCGCCGCATCCCTCGGCGGCCGACTCCTCCCCTTGGGAGTGCATGCTCCCGGGGCCGCCGTCCCGCAATAATTTCGGCTCCGTCGACATTTCCGCCTCCGGCCTCCTCGCTTTCCCTTCTGGATCTTCAGTCTCCGTCGTTGACTCCCGCTCCCTCCAGCACATCTCCACCATCCCGCTCCCCGCTCCTTCTTCCCCTTCCTCTTCCCCCTCCGCCGCTCTCTCCCCGTTCGTCACCGCCGTCCGCTGGACTCCCCTCCCCCTCAGCCGCGACCTCCTCGTCACCGAGCCTTCCTCCTCCCACCTGATCCTCGCCGTCGGGGACCGGCACGGCCGGATCGCGCTCGTGGACTTCCGCCACAGATCCGTCGTCCTCTGGCTCGAATCCGATTCCAGCTCCAAGTGCGGAATTCAGGACCTCTGCTGGATCCTCTTCCGCACCGACGCCTACATCCTCGCCGCCATCTCCGGTCCTTCATCGCTCTCCCTCTACAACACCAGCACGGGACACTGCTTCTTCAAGTACGACGCCACTCCGGAGTTCCTCTCCTGCATCCGCCGCGATCCGTTTGATCCCCGGCATTTCTGCGTGATTGGACTCAAGGGGTTTCTGCTCTCCATCCTAGTTGTTGGAGAAGCGGAGGACGAGGTTGTGGTGAAGGAGCTACGGATTCCTACGGACTGCACGGAGTTTGTGAAGCTCGAGAAGGATGCTGCCGGTGCTGGATCTTCCTCCTCCTCCTCAGCGCCTGCGGCGGCCGCCTTCCCGCTGTACTCCGTGAAGTTGACGTTCTCGCCGCAGTGCAGGCACATTCTGTTTGTGACGTTCCCTAGAGAGCTGGTGGTTTTCGATTTGCAGTATGAGACTGCGCTTTCCAGTGCTTCCCTGCCGAGAGGGTGCTCCAAGTTTCTGGATGTGTTGACGGATCCAAATAGTGAGTTCTTGTACTGTGCGCACCTGGATGGGAAGCTCAGCATCTGGCGGCGAAAAGAGTAAGTTGATCTATATGATTCATCAAGTGTTTGGTTCAGTAGGAAACGTTTGAACTGCTTATTGAAGCCAATTAGGAATTCATATGACTGAAGCAAATGAGAAATTCAGATATGACTGAAGGTTTGTAGGCACATGTGTAGTTTTCCTTATAGGTGATGGGCGAATATAATGGCTTTCCTTAGCAAGAACTAGGTCTGAATCGCCGAGTTTCTGGTTAGTTGCCTTACCAAATAGAAGACTTAATGAAGCTCCTAATGGAGCCAGTTTGGTGTTCTAACATTCCATAAGTGGACAATTTGATATCGGAAGGTCTATCTGAAAGGCGTCCCGGTACTGATAAAATGTTGATTCATAAAGGAACACGGCTTCTGGTCCATGATCCGGGCGAGCTTCGTTTGCGAGGGCCCAACTGGAGGCTAAATGAGTTTGTTTCATGCCACGAGAACCATTGGTTTCACTTTTGAATGGCTGTTAGGGAGGTGAAATATGGTTAATGAGTTCCTGATGAAAGATCCAAAAGGTTTTTTATGAAACTGTTTTCAATCTTCATTTCCATTTTGTTTGACATATCTGGAAGGTTGTCTAAATACGAAATTGCGTAAAGCTGATAGTTACATTCGTGACTGCGCGTTGGTGGGATCAAATTTCTTTGGCTGTTTTATACCATTCTTTGAACATAAAGCACAGTATGGTCACTCATTGCTGCTATAAAATGGTCGATTGCCACTGCCTATACTTATTCCTATGGCCATCCTGCTTTGATGCATGAGGAATGAGCATGAGAGCCTTGCTAGTTCTAACTTTCTGTCTGTCTTTCATTGGGTTCGTTTTGGCGCCACTTGCTTTGATTTGAATTTTGTTGTTACTTTCAATATGCATACTTCAAGTCACAATCTATCTCTCTGTTTTGTTGTTTCTCCAAATAGAGGAGAGCAGGTGCACATATGTTGTGCAACGGAAGAATTACTGCCTTCAATTGGCACTTCCGTTCCATCCCCGTCATTACTTGCTGTAACCATCTGTCAATCAGATTCAATGCTCCAGAATGTTGCCAAGTTATATCGGGATGCGCCTAACACTCCTCAGACCAAGGATTTCGACAATCCTTTTGATTTCTATGACGATGCTCAACTTCTTTCTAAGACACACATGATTTCAATTTCTGATGATGGCAAAGTGTGGAATTGGCTTCTGACTGCTGAAGAAATAGAAAAGGATGTTGAGGTTATCCCATACACAGGAGAGGATTCTGATGCTATAGCTTCCACTGATGGTATCAACCTGGAAAGAAACAAACAGCAGGAGAATTTGAGTGGCAATAAAGGTCGATCATCATCTGTTGCCAGTGAGGAGAACACAACATTCAAGGCAAGGAATCTCTTGCTCCCCTCCCTTCTTCCTGAACTTTTGAATTCCAGCTTTTATGTAGGATCCTCACCTAAGTGCATTTGAGAATGGTCTTTCTTCGAAATGTAACCCTACTGATGATTTGCATACTTACTATATACTCTGCCAAACTTATTTCCTTATGCATTTCTTGCATCTAAACTGCTATTTGAAGATTTTCGAGTGTTTGTATTAATTGAGCGTAATCATTATCTTCCTTACCTTGGTTCCTTATTTTGATTGGACCTCTGTTAGCAACGTTTCCAAACTCAAATGTAACAAGATCTTTGTAAAAAGGCTGTCATTGTTAGCACCATAAGCTTTTGAAGAAAATTAAGTGCATACATGAGGGGGAGCTAATTAGTCAATGAGGGTCTTTTATTACCTGTCAAGAGTTTGAGAAGTAACATCCTAATTGTTTTCGTCTTGTTTTGCTCGTTCATGTGGGAACTACTAAAACCATTTTGTTCTTTTTGGATGATTCACGTGAATTAACAATCATACTTACTGATGCAGGTATGCTTGGTAGGGCAGTTGCAGCTCCTTTCTTCAACATTAACAATGCTGGCGGTGCCCTCTCCTTCTCTAACAGCTACTTTAGCTCGTAAGTCTCATCTTCATGCTTTTATGTGTTGCATTTCTAGTATTGATTACTTTTTTGGTTTAGCTTTACCTTGAGTGCTACTGCTAATTGTTTAAAGAGATACCTGAATTCGAAACAAATTGGTTAATGAGATAATATCACGCAGGTGGGGGTAATTATCCTGCTGTAGCTGTTCCACTTGTTGCTTTAGGAACTCAGAGTGGAATGATTGACATTGTTGATGTCTCTGCTAATGCTGTTGCGGCTAGTTTTTCTGTTCACACAAGCGCAGTTCGTGGCCTCCGATGGCTTGGAAACTCTAGACTTGTTTCATTTTCTTACAATCAGGTGCAGACCTATCTAACTTTTTGTCACTTACTTAATTACGGCATTGTAAAACTTCAACTATTTTGCTTTATCTTGCCATTCCAACACTCTTTTCCAATGTTGGAGCCAGGCTAATGAAAAAGCTGGAGGTTATGTCAATAGGCTTATCGTGACCTGCGTTAGAAGTGGCCTTAACAGACCATTTCGAGTTTTACACAAGCCAGAGCGAGCACCAATTAGAGCCTTAAGGGCTTCCTCATCAGGAAGGTAACTGGAAAGTTCAAATGTTGATGAACTTAGCTCTATAATGCCTTCCCTCTGCAGGGTTTGTATATCATAACATTTGTCTTTTTTTCATCCCAAATTGATGTGTTTGTCACATTCAGGTACCTCCTTATTTTGTTTCGTGATGCACCTGTGGAAGTTTGGGCAATGACGAAAAGTCCCGTTATGGTTTGTTGTCAAATACCTTCTCTTGTCATATTCTCCAATTGGTTTTCATTTTAAACTGGTTATGTTGTATCCTTCTGCTCTTTTATTTCTCACCTCAATGTGATTTATTATAGGAAGTTGTAAAGTAAAACTATAGTTTTCCTCAGCAAATTAATCTTTGGTTTCCCCAGACCTTAGCACCATTGAGTAGACTTTTGTTTCTTAGTCATCCATGTTGATTTTTCAGTATGTTTCCTTCATAGGTCCTTTTCCCTGTCACTCTTGTTTTGGGGTTTTAACTTCTATGACTACGTGGTGGGGTGCTGAGATAATTGACAATTTCTTCAAACCTCCCAAGATCTTCTTCTGTAGGCTCCTTGTGGACCATAGTTTGTTCTTTTCATTCTGATTTGTCAAATGGCTTCAACTGCCATGAGGAACATGTAGATGGATTTGATTTGCATACGAAGTTTAACAATATATTCTTTGGACAAATACTTATTACTTATTAGTCGTCAATATCTCTGTGTAGCTTAGATCATTAGCTCTTCCATTCACGGTGTTGGAATGGACCCTTCCAACCGTTCCAAAGCCAGTCCAGAATGGTCCTTCTACGCCAAAAGCAAAGGAAGCTACACCTAGAGCATCAGATGGACCATCGTCCCCAAAAGCGGTTTCATCAGAATCTAGTGAGCTTTCTTGCAGAAGTATTTTTGATGATTTTGTCATTAGTCTAAGTGCCTAAAAGTATCTAGATAGTTTTATTTATTTATAAAAGAATACCCCTGATTATGCAAGTAGCTTTTGTGTGCAGCAGCTGCGAGCTCGGATACATCTCAAGATGAAGCCACAGAAAGCTTTGCATTTGCACTTGTGAATGGAGCACTTGGAGTTTTTGAGGTTCACGGACGGAAGATCCGAGATTTTAGGTACTGTGCTGTCCATTTCTACACTGTCAAAAAAGCTATGCGGTTTTCTGGGACTAGTTCATCACACTTTCCCTGTGATTGTTAATCATCAGGTATTAGTCATGCTATCTATAGTGCTTTACCTTTTGCTTATGTTGTTTCTTCTGGTTTCTTTTTCCCTGTGATAGACCAAAATGGCCTTCTTCTTCATTTGTTTCATCTGATGGGCTAATCACAGCAATGGCCTACCGTTTGCCTCATGTGGTATGCACAACGATCTAGCTCAATCTGTCTAGTTTATCATATTTTGATTCTCCCTCACTATCAATTCTGATCCAGTGACTGAATATTTCTCAGGTAATGGGGGACAGAACAGGGAACATAAGGTGGTGGGATGTAATAACTGGGTCATCTTCATCGTTTAATACTCACCGAGAGGGAATTCGAAGGCTTAAGTTCTCTCCTGTAGTCCCTGGAGATCAAAGCAGAGGCCGGATAGCTGTGCTTTTCTATGATAATACATTCTCTGTATTTGATCTTGTAAGTTTGAAAACCCTTCCAATTTACAGATCTTATCATGCATTTTATACTTTAGCTTTGGTAACTGCTTGAACCACTCTTGCCTTGATCTCCGTTCAAATTCAACCTATAGATGGATAAGATTTATTGATGTGCATTTTCCCCCCTTCTATATGCAGGATTCACCAGACCCGTTAGCTAATTCCCTTCTACAGCCCCAGTTTCCTGGAACTCTTGTGTTGGAACTGGATTGGTTGCCCCTGAGAACTAATAAACATGACCCTCTGGTATTGTGTATTGCTGGAGCTGATGGTAGCTTTCGCCTTCTTGAAGTTAATGTGTATGTTCCTTATACAAGGAATCAGTTTCTATTTTATGCTACAAACTATCCAAACCTGATCATTCAGTATTAATTTCTACTCTAGGATTTTTTTGTTGTAATTATGCTAATCTCCTCATAAAAAAAAGTATGCTAAACTCTTCAGTGTCTACTTTTGACACGTAAACCCAAAGAGTTTCCGACTTGCATTGTGAATTGTTCTCCCAAATTTGACTTGGTAAATGACATAATTGATGTTTTTAACTTGAGGAACGAATTAATTGTGTTCCATAATTTCCCCAAAGAATTCTATGTTAAGATCTTTTAAGAGAATAATTCACAATGCAGAGATTAACTTGGGTAATTAATCGTGTGGCACAATTTTCCTTAAGAATTTTGAAGTTAAGATCTTTTATGATGTTTGATGCTAATTTTTTGGTCGATGCTGTATATGCAGGCAAGATAAAAGACATGGCTATAGACCTCAGCATCAGACAATTAAAGAGAGATTCCGCCCTGTTCCCATTTGCTCTCCCATACTACTACCTACTCCCCATGCGCTGGTAATTATTTTTCTTCTGTGGTGATTTTATCTTTTCTGTATGAAGCCCTTATTGACCCGTAAGCAGACCGTCTACTTCTGATGTTGTTTTTATTGCAGGCTTTGCGTATGATCTTGCAATTGGGTGTGAAGCCTTCATGGTTTAATACTTGTAGCACAGCCATTGATAAGAGGCCACACTCAATTCCTGGGGCTTCTTCATCAGCAGGGGATTTACGTAGGTACATGATCGATCTACCAGCTATTGGTGATTCTGTGGTGCCAGAAATGCTCCTTAAAGTCTTAGAACCATATCGGAAAGAAGGTGTTTATCGTAAAGTCTTTTTGTTCTTCTTTAAAATGGTTTATTCCCTTTGCTTGTCTTCTAGTCACAGTCTGATTGTTTTCCTTCATATATTTTCCAGGCTCCATACTTGATGATGAAGTAGCAAAACTCTATGCAACTGTCGTCAATAAAGGTTCTGCTGTAAGGCTTGCATTTGCGGCTGCTATTTTTGGTGAAGTCTCAGAAGCACTCTTCTGGTTGCAATTGCCTCGTGCTGTGAAGCATTTGATGAGTAAATTAGTTAGTAAGTCACCGCTGAAACCTGCAATGTCGGCAACAATGGCAGAGCTAGATGGTGCAGTAATGTTGACCAGAATTGCGTCGAGGGAAAAGTCAATGCCTACTATGGGGAAAACAGACTTGACGGTGAGAGAGATCTACGAAATTTGTTTATTGCTTGTAAATTTAATAACTTCCAGTACTTGAATGTTAGTGAGATTGTTTTGACTTCACTATCTTTGTAGCAGAGTCAGGGTCAACTCAGATTGATGGCTTTTCAGCAAGAAGAGTTGTGGGAGAGTGCTAACGAGCGTATTCCATGGCACGAGAAACTGGAGGGAGAAGCAGCCATCCAGAATCAAGTGCACGAGTAAGTCTCTCTCATCTCCAAAAGAATTATGCTGTTGCTTTTATGTTTTGAGGAAACGGATAGCACAGAGTATTCTAATAAACCAGGTGAATTGCCTCATGAATTCTTCACTTCATTAACAGGCTTGTGACAGTTGGGAATTTAGAAGCAGCAGTTAGTTTGTTGCTTTCCACTCCTCCAGAGAGCAACTACTTCTACCCGAATGCTCTACGTGCAGTGGCTCTTTCTTCTGCCGTGTCTAAGTCTCTCCTCGAACTTGCTGTAAAGGTGAGAACCTGGGTCTTTGGACCCACTGGAGAAATCAAATTTTACATAACTTTTCAGTGACACTATTCTATCACATGATCATTCTAGGTTGTTGCGGCCAACATGGTCAGGACTGACAGATCACTCTCTGGCACTCATCTACTTTGTGCTGTTGGAAGGCATCAAGAAGCATGTTCACAGGTTTAGTTCTATTTACTATCATATCTCGTACATTCACGTCATCTTATTCCTCGGTTTTTGGTTCGCCAAATGCACGAAAAAGTGAACAGACAAACATTTCAGCTCTGGAGGAGTACTGAATTTGTGTATATACACTTCTGTACATTACTTATGCAGCTGCAAGATGCTGGGTGCTGGACCGATGCTGCAACTCTTGCAGCTACACATTTGAAAGGATCAGATTACGCAAGGGTGCTGCAGAGGTGGGCAGGCCATCTCCTTCACACGGAGCATAATGTTTGGAGGTACACATCGCTTTTATCTCATTTCACAGCTTCATTGGCCATTACTCGACAATTTTTTGCTAACCACATCATGACCCCTCGTTGTTACGACCTAGGGGGCTTATATTATACGTTGCTGCTGGTGCATTGCCCGAGGCCTTGGCAGCACTCCGCGAGGCCCACCAGCCCGATACAGCTGCCATGTTCATGCTCGCCTGCCGTGAAATCCACTCCGAAATCCTCTCGAATGCAGAGGACGAACTAGGTGGTTCGTCGGCCAAGGATCCACCTCCTAACTTGCCCGGTCTGGAACCGGAGAACGAGGATGTTTTGGTCGTCGGTGAATACTTCGGACAGTACCAGAGGAAGCTGGTGCATCTCTGTATGGATTCTCAGCCATGTTACGACTAAATCTCGTCAACCAGTGAACCATTACTACTACATATAGAAGTAGTAACTGATGCGAGATTCATCCCTATCGTTGCCAGTGTACTTCTGCTGCCGCGCTCTACGCCGGCATATCTGTTGCTGTTGTAATGGTTGCGAGGAACTTTTTGTAGGTAGATCGTCATTTTGACTGCTTTTCTGGGTACATAATATTATGATGAAAAGGTAAATTGCTTTATAGCTTCATTCTTTTTGCAAACAACAAACATCTTTTTTTAGATGGTTTGAGTGTTGTAGCGGGAAAAGGCACACATTTGGTCACTGAAATTACTACTAGAAAATTTTAATATCATGTCATAGTAATTCGAGTGACTAAATGTGACATGTTTCAATAATTCGAGTGACCGGAGTTGGATAGAGGTTAAAGGAGAGTGATCAAATTTGATCTGTTTAAGTAACTCGAGTAATTAAAATTGATATTAAATTTTTCTAGTAACTATCAAAATTGATATTAAATTTTTCTAGTAACTAAACATGACACGATTTAGTAATCTCAATAACCAAATGTGTCATTTATCCCGCTGGAAAATTTATGATCTTAATATATGACAATCCATTTGTTTCTAGACGATCTGGGCTTGCGGCAATTATTAAATGGATTGCTAAGCCCATTTTAGGCCCATCTTTACCACAGCAGATTAGGAATCCTCCAGGATTCCTCCTTTTCTTCCTGTAATCTTATTAGGGATAACAGCATTTTGTGCCCCTCTACTGTGGCGGATTAATAAACGTGCCATTATACTATTTTTTTATACAAACATGTCCTTCTAATATTACAACGTAACAAACTTACCATTTTGTTAAAAATTCCGTTTTCTCACTGTTAACTTAGGTTAAAAGAAATGACCTAACTGCCCTTGACTATTTAATGCCCTTTTGGTTTCTACTATCATCCTTCCCTCTTCAAGTCTTCCACAGTCGAAGAAAACCACCCTCTCTGAATTAAGTCTTACCGTCGACAAAGCCGCAGCCGGCACTGAGAGCGCGACAAAGCCCAACTTCTTTCTCTTCCCAATCGACGATCTGTCCTTGATTGCATCACCAGTAATACTAAAAAAATGCAAGGTAATCATAACAAACATACACATCTGAAACGCCAGGATTCGATCCCCTGATCAAAACCCAAGGGAGCATTTTTCTGCCATTATATCAAACCTTTATGCGTCACCGCATTTTGATTTGCTGAATCCTTGAGTCTGATTGATTATCTGCAGGAACTCCCAGGGGATTAATAACCACTAAAGAATTAGGGATTAAAAAATGGGGTTGGGTTCAGCCGTATCTCAAGTATGGGGGGATTAATAGTTGAGGGTGGACGACGGGGTTCAGCCGTATCTCGTCCGATAGTGCTACTGGCCCTTCAGTTGATGGATTTCGGTGCCGCTGGAGTAGCAGGTGAGCGTCGGCAATATAGTAGATGGGCACGTTTGTTAATTCGCAATAGTAGAGGGCCATGCTATTAACCCATCCTATTACGACTCTAATTTGGTGATTCCGTATCCTACAAGGAACCAGTTCGAATTATTGTGGTTGGAATCTTCACTCAACTGTCAGCAACCCTTATAAATTATTGGGATTGGGTCAGATTTCTTGAAGTGAGCAAATGGATTTGGTGGCTCACCAATAGAGAAAATGATGCAAGAATTTATTGCAAAGAAAGAGACTTAAGCTAGCAGCAGCCTTCTCTTGGAAATGTGACCTGCAAGTGTCTTGTTTTGTGGGATTAAATCTGCATAAAATGGATTTAAAAGGGGCAGCAACTAGGAGACTTGAGGGACACTTTTTGGAGACTAGTTTTAGACAGAAAAATCAAAGGAGAGAGCTCACTTTGGCACACTTTGGAGTTGAGCATTTTGAAGAAAGGAAGACTCTTGTAAGTTGGGGATTAACTCCAACACTTAGTACTTTCTCTACTCCTTTGTTTTTTGTAGTTAGTCATCATGTTGAACATTAGCATGTTTATGTACATCCTTTTCATCATGAACTAATCCCCCAATTTCTGGGGGAAACTTATGGATTTCATTATCTAGCCCCGATGTTTTAATCATGACTTGTTTTTCTTCCATTTTCTATCGTGTGGAATTGTTTAAAGCTTTGTGTTGATTGGCCACCTTCACAATGATTTGTAGTTTTCTAGGTTAATAACGATAGTGAAAACCTAGTAACCGAACACGTTTCACACGACATAATTGCCTATCGAAGCGATAGTGGATTAAATAGGGAATTATGCAGTCATTTCAGGGACATCGTTCTTAAGGCTAATTAATTAATTCAGTTAACTACGATAGTAGAAATTTCCTTAATTAGTTAGTACGTGGTAATTCTCGATAGAGATAGCTATCAAATTATAGGTATCCCAATTGTAGAAATATGGATTAAATCGATTGACAAGTGTAATTAAATTTACTGAGGTAAAATAGTAAAATCTTGTGTTTCCCCCGGAACTCTACAATATCAATTTCTCCAAAATAGTTGATTTATCGAGTTACTTAATTTGTGCGATCTTTGCAAATCATCACTTGATTACAACCTTTGCAATTCCTATAGTTTCTTGAACTAAATTTATTAATTATTGAGTTTCACCAATCCCCTAGAGAACGATAATTTTACTTACACTTTATTACTTGTACGACACTGTGCACTTGCAGTTTTGTCGCCACCAAGTTTTTGGCGCCGTTGCCGGGGATTGTCAAAAATTCAGTTTTAATAAATTTTTGTTTGAGTGAACTATTTTGATTTGTGTTTTAGTGTGCAGGAAAAGTTCAGAATATTTCTTCTTGGCGTATGCGAAGAAGGGAGACTAAGGAGTTGTTGCCGCTAAATCACGAAATTGAGAAGGCGTGTAAGTACAACCGGAAGCAGGCGAGGGTAGGAAAAATCATCCAATCTAAATAAGCACCTACCTCTCCAAAAGGCCATCAAGACGAAGAGAAGGGTTTCATCTCTTCACTTATAGGTAAAATGGAGGAGGGAGCTACCCAAGGCCACAACAACAATCAACACCGTGAAGGGAGGAATGACCCACCTGAAGATCGAACCATCCGAGGCAAGCTGAATCGATGAACTGGAGCCCGAGCTTCAGGGGTTGTCATTCCAACCGGCAACACCAATCTCGACATCACACCATCCTTCATCAACATGATCACAAATGGCTACACAGTATCTGGAGCAAGTACAGAAGATCCTCATGACCATTTGAGGAGATTTTGTAGCATTTGTGATACCATGAAGAATCCTGGCGTGTCCGATGATGCAATCCGGCTGCGTATGTTCATTCTCATTAATAGGTCGAGCGGCTCATTGGTTCCAAAACCTGGCGCCTCAATCTATCACCACGTGGGCGCAGCTAGAGAAGGCATTTCTTGACAAATATTTTCCACCCGCTAAAGCCATGAAAGCCCAAAAGGAGATTGTAGACTTTGTACAAGCCGAGGATGAAAGCCTAAGTGAAGCTTGGGAGCGATACAAAGAGCTTTTGCTGAAGTGCCCAAGCCACGGCCTTGAGGAGTGGAATGTGATCACCATCTTCTTTGATGGGATTAGAAGAGAGTTCAGGCAAGCTTTGAACACGGCATCCGGTGGAGGATTTACTTCTATGGAGCCCGGAGCCGCCTATGACCTCATAGAGAACATGTGCTCCGATGCTAATGAATGGGGTGGAGAAAAGAGCTCACGAAGGAGAGGCGGTATGCATGAAGTCGACAAATTCACCGGCTTAGAAGCACGAATCGAAGCCAAGTTGGATGCCAAATTCGATGCACTTAAACGGAGAGTGGCCAACCTCTCTCTCGTTTCCGCTGACCAAACTATTTCTTGTGAGTTGTGTGCAGGTGCTCATCATCGAGAACAATGCCCCATAGGAGCTGCCCAATTGGAGGAAGTTCAATTTATCAATAATCAAAGAAACCAAGGCGGTGCCTACTCCAACACCTACAACCCGGGATGACGCAAACATCCAAACTTTTCATGGTCAAATAACAACACCACTGGAATTCGTCCCAACAACCCACCACCTGGGTTTCAACCTCAACAACCTCGAGAGGAGAAGAAGTCGAATCTTGAAGAATTGATTCTTGCCCACATGCAGAAAACGGACAACAATATGAAGGGGTTAGATCAATTTGTGACACATACAAGCACCCACATTCAACAACAATTGGCCCTCAACAATAATGTGCAATCATCCATTTTGGCAATGGAGCGACAAATGGGTCAAATGGCTCAAACATTGGCGGACATTCAAGGTCGCATCCTGGGTACTCTCCCCGCAAACACGGAGAGGAATCCAAGGGATGCCAAGGTGGTAGCCGTCACCTTAAGAAGCGGGAAGGAGTTAGAAGATCCAAAGGAAAAGAAACAATCACGCATGGGGGAAGATGCAGAAAATTCTGCTGAAGAAAATGCAAAAGCAGATGTGCAGGGTCTAAATGCAAGCACTTTGCCACTGCACATGCATTCGTCAACTGCACCTCCAAAATGTGAAAAATTAAAAGATGAGGTGGTTAAACCTTATGAACCACCTGCACCCTTCCCTCAAAGGTTGATGAAGCCCTTGGAAGACCCAAACTTCAAAAAGTTCCTGAATCTCTTCAAACAACTCCACATCAACATACCTTTGGCGGAAGCATTGGAACAAATGCCTACCTATGCTAAATTCTTGAAGGAGTTACTTACAAAGAAGCGCAAGTGGTCCGATATTGAGAAGGTAACCCTCACCTCTGAGTGTAGTGCAGTGATTCAAAATAAAATACCGGAGAAAAGAGACGATCCGGGGAGCTTCACCATTCCTTGCACCATTGGAGATAAGGATTTCACTAAATCCCTTTGTGATCTTGGAGCGGGGATCGACTTGATGCCTTACTCAGTTTACAACAAATTGGGGTTGAGAGATGTGATTAAACCAACACGGATCACCCTCCAATTGGCGGACAGATCAGTGAAAATTCCAAAGGTTGTGGTGGAGAATGTCCTAGTCAAAGTGGGAAGGTTCATCTTCCCGGCAGATTTTGTGATCTTGGAGATGGATGAGGACCGGGAGGTGCCTCTCATTCTTGGAAGACCATTCCTTGCCACAGGCGGTGCACTTATAGATGTCCAAATGGGAGAACTTACATTCAGAGTATGTGGGGAAGAGGTAAGATTCAATGTTTACCGATCAAGTAAGTATCCCGACTCTTATGATGATGTATGTGTGGTGGATGTGATAGAATCATGCACCGAAAAGGTTCTCAACAATGATTATGATTTTGATTTTGATGCTTTTGATGATGATGTTGAACATGAAAACCTAACCGTGTCAAAAAGGGCACAATTGCTTGAGGCTTTACCCATGCAGATTGAGAATGAAGGAGAAACTCAAACTCGCCAAACGCTAGTTCCATCAAGAATTCAACCACCAAAGCTAGAGCAAAAGCCACTACCTAGTCACCTCAAATATGCATATTTGGGTAAGGATTCCACATTGCCTGTCATAATTTCGGCTTCACTAACCCTTTCTCAGGAACAAGAGCTTTTGAGAATCTTGCAACGACATATCAAAGCCATAGGATGGACTATTGCCGACATTACGGGTATAAGTCTAACTTTTTGTATGCATAAGATACTCATGGAAGAGGGTTACAAACCCTCAATCCAAGCCCAAAGGAGGCTCAATCCACATATGAAGGAAGTTGTGAGAAAGGAGGTAATGAAACTATTAGATGCAGGAATTATTTACCCTATTTCTGACAGCAAGTGGGTGAGTCCTGTGCAGGTTGTCCCAAAGAAAGGTGGAATTACCGTGGTGAGAAATAACAAGGATGAACTCATACCAACTCGAACTGTCACCGGATGGCATGTTTGTATCGATTATAGGAAGTTAAATGAGTCAACCCGAAAGGATCACTTTCCACTTCCTTTTATAGATCAAATGCTTGAACGGTTGGCTGGTCATTCTCACTATTGATTTTTAGATGGCTACTCCGGCTACTTTCAAATTCCAGTTGCACCAGAGGACCAAGAGAAGACAACTTTTACATGTCCTCAAGGAGTTTTTGAATACCGAAGAATGCCATTTGGGCTGTGCAACGCACCGGCTACCTTCCAATGGTGCATGACAACCATCTTCTCCGACATGATAGAAAAAAGTCTTGAAGTTTTCATGGATGACTTCTCAACTTTTGGTACCAATTTTGAACATTGTCTAGCTAACTTGTCTAAGGTTTTGCAGCGATGTGAAGAGACCAATTTAGTCCTTAACTGGGAGAAGTGTCACTTTATGGTGACGGAAGGTATAGTACTTGGACATCGCATTTCAGCTAGGGGGATTGAGGTTGACAAAGCTAAAATTGAAGTTATAGAACGACTTACCCCACCTAGCAACGTGAAAGGAATTAGAAGTTTCTTAGGACATGCCGGTTTTTATCGGAGGTTCATTAAAGATTTTTCTAAGATCACTAAACCTTTATGTGAATTGTTAGCAAAAGACAATGTTTTCAACTTTTCTGATGAGTGTTTGCAGGCTTTCAACAAGCTTAAGAAGGAGCTCACATCCGCACCCATTATCACAACACCATATTGGAATCTTCCATTTGAATTAATGTGTGATGCTAGTGATTATGCAGTAGGGGCTGTTTTGGGGCAGCGGAAAGAAGGGAAGTTACATGCCATTTACTATGCAAGTAAACTCCTTAATGATGCACAAATGAATTATGCGACAACTGAGAAATAATTACTTGCGGTAGTTTATGCATTTGAGAAGTTTCGATCATATTTAATGGGTTCAAAAACCATTGTGTACACTGATCATGCAGCCATCAAACACCTCTTTCTAAGAAGGAAGCCAAACCTAGGCTACTTCGTTGGGTTCTTCTTTTGCAGGAATTTGACATAGAAATCCATGACAAGAAAGGCTCGGCGAACTTGGTAGCTGACCATCTCTCAAGGTTGGAAGCAAAATCACTTCCAATTGAAAATTTGGATATCGATGACTCATTCCTCGATGAGCAACTCTTTGCCATAATAACAAAGGGAGCCCCTTGGTATGCTGACATTGCAAACTACCTAGCAACAGGTAAGCTTCCTGAAGCATCTTACCAACAACACAAGAAATTGATCACTATTTCAAAGAATTACATATGGGATGATCCATTCTTGTACAAGCATTGTGCTGATCTTATGATAAGACGTTGCATTCCTGAGAATGAAGTCAATAGTGTACTCAACTTTTGTCATAGCTTAGCTGCAGGAGGTCACTTCGGACCTCAAAGGACAGTAGCAAAAGTCTTACAATCGGGTTTATATTGGCCTTCTTTATTTCATGATGCCCGTAACTTTGTTGCTACATGTGATAGATGTCAAAGAACATGTAATATCTCATCTAGGATGGAGATGCCACAAACACCAATCTTGGAGGTGGAGATGTTTGATGTATGGGGTATAGACTAGGGATGGCAATTTCGACCTGACCTGTTTTACCCGACCTGTTTGAACTGTTTTGGGGCGGGGCGGGCATGGGTATTCTAATCGACCTGACCTGCCCTGACCCGCCCCATTCTTGACTCGTTCTTGACTAAATTACATGTAATTTTAGTCAAATTACTTAGGATTTTATTTTTATTACATCATATTTTAGCTGTTATAAAGTTGTAAATTAGTGAAAACCTCAATTTCTCCAATAATTTAACTATATTTTATCATATTATGATTTGTTTCTTGGTCTTATAGTGAAAATACCTAATATTTCTAATGCTTTCCATATAAATTACATACCCATTGGGTCGACCTGCCCCGACCCGCCCCCCGTGATAAATTACCCGACCTGCCACGGGGCGGGTATGGGTATCGAGATACCCGCCCCGGACCTGCCCCATTGCCATTCCTAGTATAGACTTCATGGGTCCTTTCCCATCACCCTACAACAACAAATACATTCTCGTCGCTGTCGATTATGTATCAAAGTGGGAGGAGGCAGCCGCATTACCAACTAATGAATCAAAGACGGTTGTGAACTTCATGAGAAAGAACTTGTTCACCCGTTTTGGAGTGCCACGAGTTGTCATAAGTGATGAAGGAACTCATTTCACAAGTCGTGAGCTGAATACACTCTTGGCCAAATATGGAGTCAAACATCGCATTGCCACACCATACCATCCACAAACCAGCGGGCAAGTTGAAGTATCCAACCGCGAGTTGAAGCACATCTTAGAGACCACCGTTAACTCCTCTCGGAAGGATTGGTTGAGGAAGTTGGATGATGCATTGTGGGCCTATAGGAATGCCTATAAAACCCCATTAGGCATGTCTCCATATCGGCTAGTGTTTGGCAAAGCATGTCACTTACCGGTGGAGCTCGAACACAAGGCGTATTGGGCCATCAAGAAGTTGAATTATGATATGAAACAAGCCAGAGAAAAGAGGCTCCTTCAATTGAATGAGCTAGATGAGATCCGCCTCAACCCCTATGAGAATGCCCGAATCTATAAGGAGAAGACGAAGAGGTGGCATGATCAACATATTGTAAGGCGAGAATTCAATATGGGCGACAAGGTATTACTCTTCAACTCTCGTCTCTGTCTCTTCCCGGGCAAGTTGAAATCGAGGTGGTCTGGACCGTTCACGGTGACCAAAGTCTTCCCTCATGGCGCAATCGAGATTCTTGGTGACAATGGAGTGTTCAAGGTGAATGGCCAGAGACTCAAACAATACACAGAAGGAGCATCCCTGTTGGAGATCTCCTCTTATCGCCTAAACTAAGCCATTCCAACGTCGAGCTAATGACGTTAAACAAGCGCTTCTTGGGAGGCAACCCGAGATTTGTTTTTCTTTCAATTTTTTTTTTATAATTTCACTTTTTAGGACGTTTGAAGCATCTCCATAAAGCTTGAGCTCAAAATTCGTTGAGGAAGGTATATTTTCCCAATTTTATAGGTGCATTGGCAGAATGCTTTGATGGACATGTGCAGTGGAGAAATGCTTTTTGCAATGGAGAAATGCAGTGTGGGGTGGAAGGCGATATTGATGGACTTGAAGAGTTAAAACGCAATCAGAAAAAAGGAGGGACAATGAAGAACTTTTCTTTTGTTTTTCTAAAAAAAACCCCCAAAAATTACAACAAAAAAAAAGATGAAAAAAAATTGAAAAGAAAATCCGATAAAAAAGAAGAAGAGTGGGCGGTGTTCTCCCGCAGAGAAAAAAAAAAGAAGGAAAAGGGGGGGGGGGGGGGGTTGCGGAACTCCAAAAGAAAAAAAAAATCCGAAAAAAGAGAAAAAGAAACAGAGGATGGGTGTTTTCTCCCGCAGAGAAGAAAAAAAAACCCAAACCGAGTAAACAACCAAACTCGGCCTCTCTCTCTGAAATCTCCTCCCACCTTTTTCTCCTTCTTCTTCTCCTTCGTTCGTTCTTCTTTCGTCTTTCTTCTTCTCCCTCATTCTTCTTTTGTTCCTCCGAAACCTCCACCAAAACTTCCACATTAACTTAAAAACTCATTCCATCCACTGATTCCACCTATACCTACCTCCATCAAACAAACCCAATTTACCACAGATTTGTTGTTCATCATTTCCCCCAAATTTCTAGGGTTCCTTAACCCACAACTTCATCACTTAGTGAAATTCGATTGGGGCTCTCCACCAACGATCCACTTTTCTCAAGGAAACGCGCTAGCATCAGCTACTAGTGGAAGATTCAACCCATTTTGCCACCATCCACCGGTTGCTCAATGGTGAGCTCCGTCCAACAAGTAATTCCAGTCTTTCTCAACCTCTTGGTACTTAATAGATGAAGAATGAGCAGAACTGGATTGCATGAGACAGTCGATTAATTGCTGAGAATTATTTGATTGTGGGGAAATGGTGGCTGGTCTTATGTATAAAAAAAAGAAGAAGAGAGAAACAGCTTGGCTCTGCTCGATAGTTGGAAGAAACAGCTCTGAGAAGCAGCCATGGTGTGGAGAAAAATTGCTGGAGTTGGCCACTTCCAAGTGGTTGACCGTAGCATTGATGGAGAGACAGAATTCAGAAAATGGGATATGACATATGAGCTATGTCTTCTCTCTGAAACCGGTCCAGTTCCAGAACCTAGACCAGAAGTTGCCGGAGTTGAAGTTTCCCCCACATGTCATAGGGTTGTCAGAGGCAGCATTGGGAAGAAGAGAGTGGAAAGAGTTATTGTTATGCCTCTTCTAGAAGGATCAAAACTTCAGATGATGGGAGACTATGTTCAAGCCACAATGGACGCCTTTGACGATCCAATGGAGCTGCCATCTGAGCACCAAAGCTGCAGCAGTCATGTACCCCCACCACAAGCCAAGGAAAGTGCCAAAACCAAGCCGGGAGAGCCACCATTGAAGCGAACACGTTCCAGCAACAATGCACCTCAACCAGAAAGAAAACAGAAGGCTAAAGACAACAACAAGAAGTCACCATCAAAGAGGCAAGCTCCCTCACAACCTACAGCCCAACCGAGAAGCAAAATGGTCAAAACTACTACAAAATCAAAATCGGCAGCAACAAAAAGTGGAGTAGATGTCTCAGCAACCTTCGGTAAACCTCTCATTCCTCCTGAACATATGGAAAAATACAAGATTCTTCTTGCTCGGCCGGTAATTCCCTCTCAATTTATGGATATGGATGTGCTGAAAATCACTAGAATAGAGGAGAATGTGCTGAATTACTTCAAGAATATGGGATGGCCTAGATTCCAAGAGATGAGATTTCCTACTTATGAGAAATTGACAAGGGCGTTTCTAGCTACATTTGTCTTTCATAAAGATGGAATCAACAGCAGGTTTCAGTTTTCTTTGGGAGGCAAACAATTTGAGTTGTCCTTGATCCAAGTACACAAGGCTTTGCTATTTGATGGGCAGCAACAACAGAACCTGAGCTTCCTTATGATGAAAAGGCTTTTTGGAGAACAATTGCAGATGATGATAAAGATTTCTACTCACAGAAGACAAGAGGAAAAACCATTCGAGATCCTGCTTTGGTGCTGGTACATGAATACTTGTGTCGGACAGCTTTGGGTCGTAGTTCTGACAACCCCGGTGTACACAATACCGACCTCCGCTTCCTCTACAGTTGTGTCACGAAGAAGCCACTCAACTTGGGCTATTGGTTGGGAGTTCTCCTTGGAGAGAAAGCTTCAAAAGGATCAAAGGGCAACATTAGATTTGGAGGAATCATTACTGCTATAGCCCAAACTTATTGCGGATTTCCAAAGAATTCGAATGGCATAGACAAATGTGAGGGAACCATAGTAATCGAAGAAAGAACTCTATCCAATATGAACTACATAAGAAGAATAGATCAAGAGGAAGGTATGTATCGCTACATGAGTTCAACAAAATCAAGGAAGAGAAAGCAAAAGCCAACACGGAGAAAACTACGATCAAGGAGGCAATAGAAGAAGATGATTTGGCTGCTGCCCGTGCAATAGAAATCCTAGCAGCCGCTGCCAGCACCTCAGGAGCATCTTCAAGGACTCCCCAAGCTGATCCAAATCGCTCCACCAGCACCCCAACACAAGGCACTCACCCGGGGGACATCATTGCTCACCTACAACAACAACTGGAGCAACAAGATCATAAGTACCAGAAGCAGCAACAACAAATCAACATCCAACATCAATTTATTCAGAAAATGGCCGAGCATCTCAAGAAGAGTGGAATTGATTGCCCAAGCGACCTTCCACTACCTCCCACCTCATCCGCCTAGCATTTGTCCCGAGGTTTTTCATCTTTCCCTTTGCTTACTTTTTCATTTTTGTGTTAGCATGTTTAGAGTCTAGGTACAGAACATTAGGGACAATGTTCCATCCTTAGTGTGGGGTGGAGAGTTTTAGTTTTGTTTAGAGTATGTATTGTACATAATGTTTGGTGAATGTGAGTCGTTCCCACTGTGTTTGATGTGTTGTGTCTTGAACTTGATAGGGTAGAATGTCATTGCTTGGAATGATTGTGTGAATGGTTTGTGAACTTATTATGCTTCGGTGTATGAATCTGCCTCTCGGTTATCCCAAGTTAACCTTGAAATGCATAACTTGTGTTTGCATGTAGGATTGCCTGTTTCACATGGTGTACCCTCATATTAAAATTCACTCACTAGAATTGAATTGTGCCCGAACTTAGGTAAAATTGAGTATAATTTGTATAGAGTAGGGTATGGCATCTAGTAGCCGTGAGTTTGAACCTTCAATGTCAATTTCCTATTGTGTGAAGTTTTTATTACTTTGTGTTTCGGTAATCTTGATCAAAACCACGAATGGATTGTGTTGTATGTATGCAAGCATAAACGATAGATACAATTAGTACAACTCGAGCCAAAAAGCCTACCCTATCATTGACAACTAGGATCAACCTCTTTGAGACTTGGCCTTGTTTTTCGGTTCGATCACACCTCTCACCTTTACCCTTTTCTTGTATTCCCCCCGTTGAACCCTTCTCGGCTCTCGCGAGGAATGAGGTCCTTTGTGTGAATATAGTAACCCATTTCATTTTCATTGTCTTGTAAATAAAGTTGATGTTCTAAGGTAGGAGTTGAAGCTATAGATGAGAGATGCATTTTGCCACTGCAGTATGCAGTTTGACACTGCATAGGCATTCTGCCACTGCACCTTCTTTTGCATCATTTTGTCTTCTACTACTTAGAAAAGAGGTATTGACCATCAAAGTCTTTTAGTCTCATCCCCATAAAAAAATAGTAAAAAGAAGAAAAAAATCAAATAAAATAAATTGAAAAAAGAGTAAAAGAGAAAGAGAAAAGGGGCAAATAAATAAGGATCGATGTATCATCTTTGGGAATCAATGTTCTTCCCTTATTATATAGTCTTAGTTTTGCTTATTTTTTGTATTTGTTCAAGGCCTCGATATTAGATAGTTCTTGATTTGGGTCCACCTTTGTAACTCATTCCTCGTGAGCATCACCATTTCCCTCCTATGAAACCTCACCTTAACCCTTAGCCTTACACATATTACCCAAACGTTGTCATCTTGATATGCTTGTTTGTACTGATCGGTCCAACTGTGGTTGAAGAACAAGGTTCAGGTAAGCACTAGTAAGGAAAAAACTTGAGTGTAAACACCAACCCTTAAACACTTGTGTGATTGAGCGAAATACACATTCCTAGTGAGGAAATCTAGATGCCATGCTTTTACTCTTAACTTACCTTATTCTTTGTTTGAATGGGTTTTGGCACAATCCACTATTAGTATGTTTATTCTAGGTGTAGGGTATATCATGTGATGGAGTGTAATCTAACTTGCAAGCCTAGGTGTGCATGGAAAGGTTGAATTTGACGATAGTGTATATACATAGATATCTACACCAAAGCATAGTAGGTCCATAGCTAGTCACACCGTCACACAAGCAACAATGGTGTTAGTCGAGTCTTAGGAGTAGTGTGTCCTTTATTTGAGTCCTAGGAGTCTTAGTTGTATGTTTATTTGCTTCTCTTTCAATTATTTCTCTCTTTTGCTTTGGGACAAGCAAATGCTAAGTGTGGGGTTGTGATAATCTTCATAAACATATATGTATTTTGTCCATAAATGATTGGTCTTTATGTATGTATGTATGTATGTATGTATGTATGTATGTATGTATGTATGTGTTTAAATTGCTCTAAATTAGTTCATATTGACCATGGAATGGCCCTAGTGTCATTACCAAGACATGTAGCGATTTAACACAGATTGAAGCTAAGATTGTGAACAAAACAAAGTGTAGTGGACGAATGCAGGTGCAGTGTCAAAATGCAGATGTGCAGAGGCAAACGTCCAGCAGGAGGCCAAATCGATGAAGACCCAAATCGAATTATTGTGGTTGGAATCTTCACTCAACTGTCAGCAACCCTTATAAATTATTGGGATTGGGCCAGATTTCTTGAAGTGAGCAAATGGATTTGGTGGCTCACCAATAGAGAAAATGATGCAAGAATTTATTAAAGAAAGAGACTTAAGCTAGCAGCAGCCTTCTCTTGGAAATGTGACCTGCAAGTGTCTTGTTTTGTGGGATTAAATCTGCAGAAAATGGATTTAAAAGGGGCAGCAACTAGGAGACTTGAGGGACACTTTTTGGAGGCTAGTTTTAGACAGAAAAATCAAAGGAGAGAGCTCACTTTGGCACACTTTGGAGCTGAGCATTTTGAAGAAAGGAAGATTCTTGTAAGTTGGGGATTAACTCCAACACTTAGTACTTTCTCTACTCCTTTTGTTTAACGCTTTGTGTTGATTGGCCACCTTCACAATGATTTGTAGTTTTCTAGGTTAATAACGATAGTGAAAACCTAGTAACCGAACACGTTTCACACGACATAATTGCCTATCGAAGCGATAGTGGATTAAATAGGGAATTATGCAGTCATTTCAGGGATATCGTTCTTAAGGCTAATTAATAAATTCAGTTAACTACGATGGTAGAAATTGTCTTAATTAGTTAGTACGTGGTAATTCTCGATAGAGATAGCTATCAAATTATAGGTATTCCGATTGTAGAAATATGGATTAAATCGATTGACAAGGGTAATTAAATTTACTGAGGTAAAATAGTAAAATCTTGTGTTTCCCCCGGAACTCTACAATATCAATTTCTCCAAAATAGTTGATTTATCGAGTTACTTAATTTGTGCGATCTTTGAAAATCATCACTTGATTACAACCTTTGCAATTCCTATAGTTTCTTAAACTAAATTTATTAATTATTGAGTTTCACCAATCCCCTAGAGAACGATAATTTTACTTACACTTTATTACTTGTACGACACTGTGCACTTGCAGTTTTGTCGCCACCATGGAGCAATTTGAACCCGAATTCCTTAGCAACATATTGAAATAAATCAAATGTATCTCATTTTGGGTTTAGTCATAACTCATAAATCTCTCATTTTTCATCTAATCTAGTATCTAGTTTGGTTAAGTTTTGAATCAAGACTGTATTTATAAAAAATCTTTCAATATTCTCCACTTACAAAATGATTTCATCAAATAGAAAGTGGATAAATATTGGTTGGATGGAGCATACACATGATGCTTGCTTCACCCAAATATCATGTTGGTGGAAGAGACGGTACAAATTTGATGAAAAAGAAAAACTGATTAGACTATGTTTGGGAGCTATATAAACAGAAGGAACTTCACAGTGTCGTAGTCCAAACTTCTAGCAATCGTGGTTGAAACTCCATTCAAAATCCCCCGCCCCCCCCCCCCCCCCCCCCCCCCCCCAAACACATTTCATAACAGTGCATCGCTAGCAATCAAATGTGCAAAGAACATGGCCACATTACTCAACTTGTTCTTTTCTAGGAGGTGACTTATTGATTATTGCGAGTAGAAGTATTTCTCGAAGTTGCTTCGGTAGATTCTGCTGTTGATGGAAAGTCATTGGCATACAAATCCGTACATTTGGTCTTCTCCTAGATGCAAGTTTCTAAAAACATTCTCTGCCGAATTCGACCTCTTGGCCCTGGTGCAATGTGCAATTATCATCCCTGCACATGCATACACCAGGGAGAGAGCCCAAAATCAACACAATGTTGGTAGAAACTTGCGTTATGGAGAAAAACTACAATAGGATGTACAGTCTTGTAAGCCAGTGACTCTCGATCAGCAGCAGAGATCACCGGAGTGACTTCGAGAAGTGCTTCGCTAAGCAGCACTCGATTAGCCACCAACTGGAAACGAAGAAACTAAGGAGTGTGGTCATGTTCTTCGCTCATTCGTTTGCTAAGGGTGCACTGCCTTGGGTATGTTCCTGACAAAGGGGCATGACCTAGTTGTTGAGGATCTTGGTCAATGGATGAAAAAAGGTCGATGGAGAAAGCTATTGTGTCGGGGGATTTGATCTTTTCGAGGAATAGTGTGAGCAACATGTGGTTTTCGACCAACTTCTTTACATGTATAGGTCTTTGTAGGTTGATTGAAGAGATGAGTTTGTTAACAAACCTGTTCACTTCATTTCCCTTGTCATTACTCATGTACAACTGTAGGTGTCGGTTTCTCTAAGGGGTCTCCATGGGGTTTGGGGGTTTGGTCTTCTGATCTTCTTCCTACTTCCGTTTTGTCTGTTTTGTTCTCCCTCTCCCTCTCCCTCTTTTATGCGTGTATATACTGAGGCATGGTTGTAGCTGAAAGACAATATACACAAACATTGATAAGATCAGTAGCTGAAGAGTGTGTACTCTTCCGTGGATTAGTCATGGATATTCCGGGGATACCACGTAAATTGGATTGTTTGTTTTTCTGTTAAGTGATCGTTTAGGATTATCAAACATGGTATCAGAGCTACCGGGAATCGATTCAGAACGGTCTCTAGTTCGTCTCACTTCAATGAACTATGCCCTGTGGGAATTTCAGTTCAGAGTTTATGTTGAAGGAAAGAGTCTTCTTGGTGTACTTGATGAAACCACTACCAAACTGACCAAACCTGCCCCAGCTCAGAAAATAGCTACTTAGAATCAGAACGATGCACGAGTGCATTCTTGGTTGCTTGGATTGGTGGATTCTTCTACCTGTTTAAGCCTGCGAATTTTTCCTACGGCCAATCAGACGTGGAGACATTTGTCTACCACTTATTCAACAGTCAATGCGGCTCGACAATTCGAGCTTCAATTTGCTCTCGTAAGATTGCAACGAGGGGATCACACCATCACAGAATTCTTCAATGTCGCCCAGGAATTGTGGACAGAACATGACCTCTTGAATGTTGCCCTTTGTCCGACTGCTGCACCCTCTACCGATGCCCTGGCCGAACGACAAAAAACGCGAATGATGGAGTTCTTGATGCGGCTTCGGCCGGAGTTCGAAGTCGTTCGATCGACGCTGCTCAATAAGGAAGAATTAAGTTTCGATGGAATTCTTTGCAGCTGGTCCGGGAAGAGATTCATCCCCAAACACAAGCTCAGCTTGACCTTCGTCCTGGTGAAGGTGAAACAATTCTGCCTGCCTCCGTTCAGGATCCGGCTGCTTTTGCGGTCGGCAAGCCTCTATTTCAGTGGAATTCCCAGCCCTCACTCACGGATGTTGAATGTCATCTTTGTCACGAATGCGACAACCTTCAGAAGCACTGTCGTCGCCGGAATTATTGTGTGTACTGCAAAAAACCCGGTCATATAGTTCTTGACTGTCGAACACGCTTGAGACATGAGGCCAAGGCTGCCGACAGCGGAGGCTCTCTGTCTGGATCATCTGGTGCGTTCTCTTATGAGAGAAGGGCGAGTGAAACTGGGCCCCGTTCTTATGGGCCGCGTCCTTATGGGCCCTCAACTGATCATACGGTCTATTCTGTCCAGCCAGCAGATCAAGGAAGCAGCAACGCTAGGCCTGGGGTTCTGACCTCTTCAATTGAACAACTGGTAAATGTTGCACTTTAGAAGGCTTTACCCACCGCGATTAGTACAGCCTTTGCCACCATTCATGGATATGGTAAGAATTCTCCGTGGCTCATTGATTCCACTTGTTTCAATCATATGACACATGATTCACGTGCTTTAACAAATTTGATTCATGTGCATGATGTGTCATTAAGTGTGGCAAGTGGAAATAAATTACAAGTGAGTGGAATAGGGACAATGAAAGATTCTAAAATTGTTCTACCACATACTTTTCATGTTCCAAGTTAGTCCCTAATCTTGTATCAGTATAACAACTTACTGAGCAAGGCTGCTCTGATCTATTTGCACTGTCTGGATGTTTTGTTCAGGATTTGAAGACGGGGAGGCAGATCGGAAAGGGGATTAAAAGGGGACAGGTTATGGTGATTACTACATAAGTAGTAATCACCGTGGTTACTAAGGGTAAATTGGGTATGAAAAATAAACTATATTAATTAATTTTTTTAATAAATTACATTTTAGGTAGTTACAAGAATCTATTAATTACAATTCTCTCTCTTTCTCTCACTTTCATAATCTTCAGCCAGATCCCGTTTCCTTATTTTTCTCAATCTTTCTGCAAAAGAAAAAAAACATGAATCACTACCAATCCATTAGACAATCACTACCACTTTGAAAAATATCAATACCATTGCAGAAATAAATCTATACCATTACACGAAAACTACCAATATAAACAATCTACCAATATAAATCTATACCATTTCACAAAAAATCAATACCATTGCAGATTGAATCCATACCAATATATGCAAATTAATACCATTACATGATAATCAATACCAATGCGACAAAAACAATACCAATGCAAAAAAACACTACCACTACGAAAAAATCACTACCAATGCGGAAAAAAATCAGATCTAGAGTTTTTATTCATCCCACCTTTTCCAGCGAATCTGTCGACCCGAGGAACTCCATTGAGTTTTTGCATATGATTGACTGCGACAGACTAGAGAGCTGAGGAACAGAGAATAGTAAGACCAACCTTCGCGTCAGGAGATGCCATGGTATTTTCAGCACCCCAAGGAACATTATGAAGCCAGACTGAAACAAATGGTCCACTCCTCAAGTAATGGCTTCACATAATCCAAATACACCTTGGGAGCAATTCTCTTCCTGCCATACGGGTTCACAAACACAAGCAGCCTCTTCGGCCGGCCTGCCATGAAAATTCATTCACCAAACCGAATTCTAGAAGAGATAGTACACTGAGTAGTCATGTCTAGATTCAAACACAAGCAGTCTCTTCGGCCGGCCACGGGGGTGGGGTTGGGGTGGTCGGAGGGAGGGAAGCCGGTTGTGGGGTGGGAGAAGGGAGAGACGGCGGCTAGGTAGATAGGTTGTATTAGGGTTTGAGTATAATATATAGAGTAATCAGGTGTGGTATGTTTTTCATTTCCTAAATTACCCTTAGCTAATATTAATCGTTAATTTTAAAATATAATAAAATAAAGATGATGAATGGTATAGATGTTGGTAGCCACCGTGATTACTCAAAATTGAGTAACCACCCTAACCTATTTCGGATTAAAAGGGGTAGGATCTTTCATCTGAAGGAACTGCATGGTTGTCCCAGTTCGTCAGTAGTCTTTCTGATAGGTCTGTCAGTAGTCCATCATCTTCTGTTAGTTTTTCAAGTTTGTCAAATAATGTGTGGGATCTTTGGCATGCTCGTTTGGGACATCCCCACTCTGGTCGACTTGGTATGATGTTTAAACAGTCTTTGCTTGAAAAAAAAACATGTTAGTGTTCCTGGTAAACATTCGTGCATCAGTTGTGTTGAGGCAAAAACTATTAGCTCATCCTTCCGTCTAGTAGTACTATCATTTCTGAGCCTTTTCATATTGTTCATACTGATCTTTGTGGTCCTTCCTCTACGACTTCTCGTCATGGATATCGCTATTTTGCTCTTTTTGTCTATCATGCTAGACGTTTTACCTGGGTCTATTTTCTTCATTTAAAATCTGATCTGTGATTTGTTGCTACTGAGTTTTTGAAAATGATCCAAACTCAATTTGGTCGACCGGTTAAAATTGTCCGATCTGATCCCAATGGAGAGTTTAGCTCATCTCCTTTACATGATGTTTATCGCTCTCTTGGCATTTTGTCTAAAAATTTTTGTCCCGGTGTGTCTCAACAAAATGGTCTTGTCGAACGTAAAAATCGTCATGTTTTGGATCTTACTCGAGCTTTACTCCTGCCTTTTCATGTTCCTAGTCGATTCTGGTCGGAGGCAGTAGCTAGGGCTGCAAATGAGCCGAGCTGAGCCGAGTTTTACCCCAGTTTGAGCTTGACTCGTTAACAAATGAGCTGAGCTCGAGCCCGAGCCATTTATTAACGAGCTGAGTCGAGCCGAGTTCGAGCTAGGCTTGTTTACTAAATTCCTTCATCGTATTTGATACATTCATTTTGTATGTCGTGCATGGTACATGTGATTGATGTAGCGATAAAAAAATAATCAAATGTTCAACATTAATTAATCTTATTTTATAATTTTTAGGTGTCATATTGTTTAGTTAATAAATTTTAACTAGTTCAAATCATGTTATTTCATAGTATCGAACCAATTTTGTACATAATTTCTTTATAGAATTAAAAATAAGGCATATATTTTCTTACATGTTCAACATGTGTAAACTTCACATGATGTGAGATATATAATTTAACAATCCTATGAATTATGAAAGTCCAAATTAGATCGATTAGTCCATAAGTCGGTGATCAAGTTGGCCCTCAAACCACAATGTTGAGACATCTCATGAGCTTTAAATGAGCCAACTCACGAGTTGAGCTCAACAAGCCACCGAGTCGAGCTAGCTCGCGAGCTTCACGAGCTGAACAAAGCTAAGCTCAAGCTTGGCTCATTAGTAAACAAATCGAGTTTCGAACGAGTTTTTCCCGATTCGAGTCTCGAGTTGCTCGCGAGTAGCTTGGCTCATTTGCAGCCCTAGCAGTAGCTACTGCTATTCGTCTCGTAAACTATCAAATTACCCCAATTTTGAATCACAAAAGCCCCTTCTTTGCTCTTTACTCTCGCCATCCATACTATTCCCAACTTCGAGTTTTTGGTTGTCTATGTTTTGTTTTAGGGTTATAGGTATAATATGCCCCTCTACTATGATGTTTTATCAAACATGCCTCTCTACTATTTTTTACATCAAATATGCCCCTGTACTTTGAAAAAATTATCAAATTTGCCCTTTTGTTAAAATTTCGATTGAAAAAATCATCAATCATGGTTGAATTGAGTTTAGACAACCCGACATCGACAAATGGGAGGGAAAATGTCAGTTTTGTCCCCTGTTTTATTTTCCTGGGTCTTCTCAAAGTGAAATTATTTGAATGATTTGATTATACAAAAGAACCAAAAAAAATTCTAAAGTGAATTTATTAGGGATATTTTAGTCATTTGTGTCGCCCAAACTATAATTCGGCCTTGGTTAACGGTTTTTAGATGAAAATTTTAACAAAAGGGCATGTTTGATTTTTACAAAGTACAGGGGCATGTTTGATGTAAAAAATAGTAGAGGGGCATGTTTGATAAAACGTCATAGTAGAGGGGCATATTATACCTATAACCCTTTGTTTTATTACCTAAACGGGAACGAACAAAATTGTCTTCCAAAACAACTTGGTGTGCCTTTGTTGGTTATAGTGATGTTCATAAGGGATACTTGTGTTATAACCCAGTATTACAACGTATTCGTATAGCAAACACAATAGTCTTTTTTGAACATCTTCCTTTTTCAATCAAGTTCATCATCACTTCCTTTTCCATCACCCGACCCTATTCTACCTACGTTTGGTAATGATGATTTTGAAGATGATGCTCCTGAGACTCCTCCTTCCCCAGGTCTGCCTCCCGCTACTCCTCAGTTCTCAGCTGCCTCTGGATCCGCCAGCTCGACATCGATTTCATCATCATCCTCCAATAGCTCTTCTCCCCACAGTCAAATACCGCCTGCCGCGGTTACTCCCCAGCCACCTCGATGGTCTACTCGGGCAACACGAGGTATTCCTCCGCCATGTTTTCAAGATTATGTTGCTCATGGTGTGGATGCTTTTTTTGTTCCGACTCGGTATAAACAGGCTCGTGGAGATCCTCGGTGGGAGAAGGTATGCGTCCTGAACTTGACGCACTCCATGCTAATAACACATGGACCCTTGTTCCTCGACCCTCTGCGTCTACTTCGGTCGTTGGATGTCGGTGGGTTTATACAATTAAAATGAACCCTGATGGCACAGTTGAGCGCTATAAAGACCACTTAGTTGCACAAGGGTTTACCCAGGAGTACGGTATTGATTATAGTGAGACCTTTGCGCCCATTGCCAATATGTAGACAGTTCGTACACTTCTTGCTGTTGCTTCTTCCAAGCAATGGCCACTTTATCAGCTTGATGTCAAAAATGCATTTCTGCATGGCGACTTAGAGGAAGTCATCTACATGGAGAGGCCTCCCGGCTACACTCTTGGTACGGAAGATAAGGTCTGTAATCTTCATCGATCGTTATATGGTCTCAAACAGGCACCCGTGCCTGGTTTGAGAAGTTTCATGCTAATATCTCTAGCCTTGGTTTTCAACAGAGCACCAATGATCCTTCCCTCTTTACACGCACGACTGACGCTGGTGTTGTTGCTTTGGTACTCTATGTTGATGATATGGTGATTACCGGCAGTGATTAGGATGGGATTCATCATCTAAAGGAGGGCCTTCATGCATCATTTAATCTCAATGATCTTGGTGAGCTTTCTTACTTCTTGGGTCTGGAAGTAACACGTGACTCTCCTGGTCTTTTAGAGAGTCAACGTAAGTACATTTCTGATTTACTTGGAGATCATCATTTTGGTGACTGTCATCCTGTTTGCACTCCTATGGAGTCTAATTTGAAGTTAGGACGTGACTCTGGTGAGCTGCTATCGGATGGTACTATGCTACACGACCAGGCATTTCCTACGCTGTTCAGATTGGGGATTTTTCCAGAAATAGCACCTTTAAAAAAAATTACAAAAATAGCACCCATTCCGTAGAAATTAAAAAAAATAGCACCTTTTTAAAAAACCGCACCCCCCTGGTGCGTTTTGCATGTAAACCGCACCCCCTGGTGCGTTTTGTATTTAAACCGCACCCTCAAGGTGCGGTTTAGCTTTCTGGGCCAAAACCGCATCTTGGCCATGCGGTTTGCGGTCTGACC